ATTTTTTAAATATAAATTATTGTTATTGTTGTTGAAAGTCTATGAGTTTGTGACTCATAGCAACCCTATGTACAACAGCTCTGAACTCTGCTCTATCCTGTACCAATCTTATTGTCTCTGACACACCTACCCCCATTACCCTGGTCACTGAATCAGTCCATCTCATCAAGGGTCTTCCTCGCCTCACTGTCCCTCCACTCTCCCAAGCATGATGTCTCTCTCCAAGGACTGGTCCCTCCTTGCAATGTGCTCAAAGTGTCAGACAAAGCTTCAGAATCCTTGCTTCCAAGGAGCATCCTGGCTTCACCCTCTCCAGGATGAACCTGTTTGTCCTCCTAGCATTCTCCAGTACTGTAGAGGAAGTTAATCACATTGGAGGAGATTGCCCATCCTTCTCCCATGGAGTAGCTGGTGGCCTCAAACCATATGCCTTCAAGATTGCAGTGCAGCTTCTTGCCACTAGGCCATCTAGAAAGCATGTAATCTACCCTGAGGCTATGCCTGTTTAAAGCAGTAAATTAGAGCATAAATATGGGGGCAGGATAAAGTCCTACGTTGAATAGAGGGGATGTTCTGGTGGCCTTGTGGCAAGAAGCTGCACAGCAATCCCAAAAGTTGACAGTTCAAATCTACCAGCTGCTCTGTGCGATTAACTGCCTTTGAAAACCTGCTGGAGGGTCAGCTATCATCCACAACAATAACAACAATGGACTGCCTAAAGGACAAACAAATCTGTGCAGCCAGAGTGCTCCTTAGAGGCAAGAATGGTGAGACAGTACCCCACATACTTTGAGCATGTGGTCTGGAAGGACCAGTCCTTGGAAAGACATCATGTTGGGAAAGGCCAGTGAAAGAGAGACAGATCCTCAAGGCTATGAACTGACACAGAGACTGCAACAAGCAGCTCAACGTGGTGGACAGAGGATGGTGCAGGACAGCAAGGTTCAGGTCTGTTGGACATAGTGTTGCTGTGAGTGGTCCTGGACGACCTGTGAACAATGGTTAATTAATTAATGATTAAGTCACAACAATTCTGTTAGGTCTTTGCACTGGACATAAGGCCAAGGACTCAGGAAAGGGACCAGGGAAAGAATGCTAAAGAAGGTTTAGCCCAAGCGGGCTTCCTTGGTCTAAAGAGAAAGAGGTCAGAGGAAAACATTGCCCTAAGGTGATTTCGGGCAGGTTTTTATAGTAAGGGTCTTTAGGAAGGGAAGCGAGGGACACTTCATTGTGGTTTAGCCAGGTGAGTGGTCTTCTGGGAGGGGAGGGGCACTCCATGGTATTTTAGTCAGAGGGGTCAGGCTGTTTGCTCCCTTTGCTGACATGTTGATATTCTTTGAGTTCTTCCTTCTCCCTTTGACCTTGGTCTGGGCCTGACAATTTCTTCATGTGGTGAGTTATCTGTTCAGGTTCTCTGCCCATGTTTTAGTTGGATTGTTATTGAACACAAGGAGTTCTTTACATAGTCAATTGCCAATAAGACAAACGGATTGCAGTATCCATAAGCACTTTATTACAGATCTGTGGAGGACAGAGGGTCAGCCTCAAAGACTGCCTCTCTGACTGGGAGAGGTCACCAAGCTTTTATACTAAAATCAAAGAATTTCTATGTCTGAAAGAAAACCAGTCACAACCAGACACTCCCTTTCCCAGCAAACAGGCAGATTGTTACAATTTACATATGACTGGGAAAAACAGCTTCAAAGAGATAACAGCTAATCTAGGAGATGCATCTCCTCTTCTGATAAACAGATTAAAGAAAGGACACTAAGAATCCTAAGGTAGAGAATTCTGAACTTATCAGTACCACCCCATCAGGGTTATCTTAAGTA